GGTACTTATTTATAGATGTATTTCCACTAGACTGAGGGTGTTCTTGCCAAAACATTATAAGTGTTTTTTTGATGCTGTGGCTTACATTACTTGTTAAGTGTTTTTTAATTTTTTATTCAAATATTTTTTTTTAATTTTTAATATTAACATGTCAAAATTATTAAAAATATAAAAAGAATCAATTTAATATCTTATCAAATTAAATATACTTTAAAAAATACATTCACTTATATTTCAAACACAAAACGAAAATTACATGAATGACAATAAGAGGAAGTATTTTAGAGGCCATGTATGTTACATTTAAAATTACTTGATGATTTTAATGTGTTAATATTAAAAATAAAAAATAAAAAAAATAATATATTTTTAAATAAAAATTTATTTTAGAAAGTATATTATACTGCAATCTCAAATCCTCAGCAAATCTCAATTCCCACGGTGTAAATTATTCAGAATAAAATAAAATATATAAAAAATAATTATTTTAATATATTTTAAGTACTAACTCCTCCAGGCAATAATAAGTGGAATTAAATTACTCAATGCTTTGAAAAACCCAGAGAGATTAAAAAAATGGAACTTATGTGGAATTTGTTTTTGAGCTGGAAAATGTTTTTTAAAATAATTTTAAATTTTTTTCATTTTAAAAAAATATCATTTTAATATATTTATAATTAAAAATATTTTTTCAAAAAAACTCTCAATTAGAGTATCAAATACACTCATGTTAAACATGTGGTTAAAGATATATTTGGTGTTGTGATAGCTTTTATCGCTATAGTTTTAAAAAATATATTTTATAAAAAATATTTTTAGTTGAGATTGGCTTGATAAAATATATATTTTGTTAAAATTGATGTTAAACAAAAAGTAGTTTATCATGTTTGGTTAAGAATGCCTTTTAAATTGAGATTATAAAATAATTTAAAAAGATATATATTAATATTGATAGTTTTTAATTAAAATATTATAAATTTAACTATTGCTTTTACATCATGAGATAAAAATACTTTATATAAAATATTTTTTTATTGTTTTATTAAACTATTTATAATTTCACCGTACACAAAACTTATTCGACAAGAACTATAATTTTTATGATTTCAAGGGTGTGTAACAATATCAAGTAAAATATTATTAGAAATAAAATTGGGATTGCAATCAAATTCTATAAATACTATATCATCATGCGATCTCCTTCTAATACAATTATTTAGCATCATTGAATAATATGAAACACTAATTTTTTAATTAAAATAAAATATTTTTAAATTATTTTTAAATTTTTTTATTTTATTGAATTAGACTTGGTGTAATACATTTATATCTGGACTGAACTAGTTTTGAACGCTGAATAATGATAATGCTCTCTACTGTTTTGCAAAATAAACAATAAAGACAACGAAATGTAATAGTGGAATAAAAAAGAGAAAGAAAAGAGGAAGAGAAAGAACAACAAAAATGAGAGGGTTGTTTTGGAATTTTTTTTGCAATGATTTTATTGTTGTTTGGCAAGAGATGTGAGAAGGGAACACGGGAGAATAAGGATGAAATTTTAGGAAATAAAGGATTTTTCCAGACATGAACAATGGAGGCCTCTTTTTTTTTTTTTTTTTTTTTTTTTGCAATGGTTAATTATCTATATTATTGGTGAAGGAGAGAAGAGAATACACCCAAGCGCAAAAGCAAATTTCAAATTGCTTCTCAACAAACTGAGTTCCAACCTCAGTTTTAGAAAGGATCCATATCAGTAAAAGTATGGTTAATATCTAACTAAATACTTATAAACAACTTTTTGTAGTAAACATAGTTGCAACGCAGACACGCGCTAGAGATAGCTCCATCAACTGAGAACCAGATATTATAATATTTTAAATCGGTTCTTAAAAATTAAATTGAAATCGAGCAGAGTTTTTACGTCGAGCTCCAAAATAGTATCCAGGTTTAGTTGACTGTTTTTTCGTTCAAGCTCAAACTTGATTAGAAACAAAATAAAATCAAATAAATATAAATATTATAATATAATTATCTTAACAAAGCATGTCAGTTTGAATGTTAAAATCTCTTAGTACCCCATCTTATATATGTTTTACAGTGAATTTGCACTTCCTCTAATAACAAAGTATTGTATTTTACTGATATTATTTTAAGATTATTTATAACTATATTTCATGTTGGCGAAGATTTCGAGTCAAGAAGTAAATTGTCTAAAGTTTGTTCGTGATAATCACGGAGCTTTAAGATTATTTTTAAATTTGATTTATTCAACTAAAAATCGAACTTCAACGAGTATTTTATCAAATCTATCTCCAACCAAGGTAGAATAAGTTGGTTTGATTGACAATCCCACGCTCAATACCTTGCCTTTTGATTTATTAAAGCATCTCCCGTCCAAAATACTATTTTAAAAAGTTAAATTGATGTTAGAGCATCTCCAATATAAAATGCTATTTTAAAATATTAAATTGATAAAATAATATTTTAAATAGTATAAATATAACTTATTTTACTATATCTATTCCAATAGAAAAAAACCATTTAAAGCGCTATTTATATTAAAGTTAAAAAAAACAGGTATTTTATTATTTCTTAATATGTTTAATGTTATTTTTTTTACATGTTTACATTTAATTGATGTACTTTTTTAGTGGTCCACTTGGTTGGTTTTCACTTGGTTGGTTTTAGCTTCTTTGAAAAGATATATAGAAAGATATGTAGAAATAGCATTTGTGAAAAAGAAAAGATATTTTAGCATTTTGTTTGACTTCTCCTTTAGAATGTACAAAACAAATAAAGAAAAGTTAAAATATTAATTTTTTATTTTTAGTTATCCATTTACCTTCTCCATCGGAGATAATCATCTAACAATCGAACATCAAAGATGTTCAAAATGATTTATTAGAATTGCATGGTTCACATATGAACAGTTCAAAATACTGGATTTCCTTGCACAAAGGGATACATCCATCAACTGTGGCAGGGACTTTAAGTATTTAGTTTCCTCTTTGATGATTTAAATGATTAGCCCAGGGCTTCTCTCTTGCTTTGCGTGAATGATAAAACGATCTGCCTTTATGATATTTATTTCAAATTTAACAACTTTATTTTTTTAACTAGTTTTATTTAATGATACTATAGCAAAAATAAAAGTTCACATGATTGAGCACTAGTCAAATATTTTGATATTTATTTGAAATTGTAATAGTAAAAAAAATTTATGAGAATCAATTTAAAATTAATATAATCTTAAAATTGAATAAAAAAACTAAAAAAATTATAAAAAAGAATTTATAAAAAAATAGCAAGTCTTCCAACCGTAAATGGGTTGGGGTTAATAAAAAAAAGAAGAAGGGTGGTCGGCCATTGTTCATATAAAACATTGAAACTCCTCACAAGAGTTTTTTTTTTAAAAAAAAAATTTAATATTTTTTTAATTGTATCATTTTACAGCATTACATGAGCTAAACCTTCAAATTAAAACACCGTAGCTCATCCCAAATTTATGATAATTTGCATTTTAATTCAAAAGTTAATTTTTTTTATTTTTTAGATTCTAGTGAAAAAGAATAAATAGAAAGTTGTGAGAAAATAATAAATGAAAAAAAAATAATTGGTTGTTATGATATCAACAACAAAAATAGTCAGACTTGATGTTTGATATTTATGGTTTCTCATTACAAATAAGTCTAAAAAAGAAGATTAAGTTTCATCTTAATTCTTTAAATTCAATTGATTTTAGTTTTCTTGAGTATTCTAAAATTAGCTGTTAGCTGGTGGTTTATAAAGATTTATTAAGTGTTTTTTTTCCTTGTGAAAATGAGTATAAATATAGATTTTCAACCCAAAAAACTTGATTTTAAAATTTTTGATAACCATAGTGGTGGTAGGATTCAAAGTTGTGTATGACAGGCTACGAGTTATTACTTATTAGCCTTAATATGCTACACATCTATTTTTTTTTTAATCATACAATGAAAATAAAACAAATATTATCGAATTTATTGGAGTCTATAACCCTAGTTATTTGATAAGTTAACTCAAATTGATCAGATCAATTAAATATATTATTATTTTAGTTTTTTTTTTTTTAAAAGTGAAACTACCTTTTATTTTTAAGTTGTACAACCTAGGCTCATGTGCTTGGATTTTTTTTTTAAGGCCCTTACATGCTGGATTACTTAGATAATATATTTGGTCTAACCTTATTTAAAAAAAAAAACTTCAGTAAGTGGTTTTTTATTTTTTTCTTTTAATTCCACAATTTAATATAGGGCTGATTTTGAATTGGTTTTAATTTTTTTATTGTATAATTAAAATAATTAAAATATTATTGAACTCGTCGGAATCTACAATTCAAATTACAAGTTTGACGAGTTAATATAGGTTGACTATAATCGATACAATATATCATTATCTCAATATTTTAAAAAAATAAAGATTTTTTTATTTAAAGTCAATCGTTTTAAAAAAATAGAGGTTTTTTTTATTTAAAATCAATCATTTTTTAACAGTTACTCAAATAACTTTTAAACTCAGGTCTGACTTTTGTTTTTTATATTAATTTTTTATTTAAAAAAATGCTAAATTAACTAAGATATAGTAAGTTAACTCTCAAATAATTTAATTAAAAATAAAAAAAAATTAAACTGAGATTTTTCAAGTTGAATATACTATATTGAGTTTAACTTTTTTTTTTTTTTTACATTCAAAATGTTTTTAGTCTAACCTGCAGCAGAGCACAGGAGGTAAACTAGTAATCTCTACAGTATGTTATCTAGATACTATCTATTATTTAATCTAAACCAGTAACTTATTATTAAACAGCAGCATAATTTTTAAAATTCATAAATATATTAAAACTTCTCATATTGTAAACTGCATTAAATTATTGCATGGGCCGTAAAATAATTTTGGTAGACCTACAAAATTTTTGGCATAAAAGCCCAGAACCATTTGACAGGGAGGAAATAAAAAGGAAAAAAAGAGAAAAGGGCACTTTACTTAACTGCAAAATCTGTGCGGGTCTCCAACAGTCAAAACCAAAATGACCTTTAATTTTAAACTCCAAAGATCCACACCGATACTGTAGTTGCATAGCGTTGCTCGATCGCTAACCAAAAAAATAAAAATAAAAAAAATGCTAAAAGGTTGACAGATTTCAGAGCTTAGATTGATAGATAGTTAGATAGGTTAAACACACCGAAAGGTAAAAATGGAGTTTACTGAAGCTTATAAGCAGACGGGTCCTTGTTGTTTCTCTCCAAACTCCCGTTACATCGCTGTTGCTGTCGATTACCGTCTCGTGATTCGTGACACGCTCTCTTTTAAGGTATTTTCACTACCCTTTTGATTGTTCCGTTTGTTTTTAAGAAATTCGCGGTGAATTTTCTGTGACGAGCCATGTTTGGATGCTGAGAAATTTGGAAGAATGCAAGGTCTTGTTTGATCTTTTTCTTTTTTCCCCTAATTTCAGTGGTGTGTATTGAGCTACCTTTTCGGTTTTTCTTTTTGGTTTCTAGAAATTCGTGGAGAATTTTGTGTTTGGATGCCGAAAAAATTTGAAAAAAATGCGAAGAATAGAAAGTTTTGTTTGATCTTTTTTACTTTTCTTGCTAGTTCCCTGGTGTGTGGTTGAGCTAGAACGGGAATCTGATTTGGTATTACGTTAAGTCTTGGTTGACTGATATTTCTTTGTCTGGTTACTGAGAAAGTGGAAGTTTGTTTCTTAGTTTCTCGTGAACTTAGTGTAATGCTTGTATTTGGATCCTTGGGAAATGCATGGAAAGTATAAAAGCTTTGATCATTTTCTGTTTTCTTGTTAGTGTCATTTGTGAAAATTGAACTGGACTGGTTAAGTAAAAGGGCAGGAGGATGCGAGGTTTTGATTAAATTATGCTTATGTCTTGTTTGGTTACTGAGAAAATTTTGTGGGAAAAAAATTTCTTTTTCTGCTCAAGTATTAACCACTGAATTTTATTAATTGAGGCTATTAAATATGGGATTCTTTTGTGAGATGTTGCATTGTTTTTTATGATTTGCAGGTTGTGCAGTTGTTTTCATGCTTGGATAAGATAAACTATATAGAATGGGCAAATGATTCTGAGTACATCCTTTGCGGTCTGAATAAAAGACCGATGATACAAGCATGGTCATTGACTCAACCTGAGTGGACATGCAAAATAGATGAAGGTCCTGCTGGTATTGCATATTCTAGATGGAGTCCTGACAGCCGGCATATACTTGCCACTTCAGATTTTCAGTTGAGGCTAACAGTTTGGTCACTTCTGAACACAGCATGTGTTCACGTCCAGGGGCCAAAGCATTGCTCTAAAGGGGTTTCTTTCACTAAAGATGGGAAATATGCTGCGATTTGTACGAGGCGTGATTGCAAGGATTATGTAAATCTACTGTCATGTCATACATGGGAAATAATGGGTGTGTTTGCTGTTGATACATTGGACTTAGCTGATATAGAGTGGTCGCCAGATGATAGTGCTATAGTAATATGGGATGCACCACTTGAATTCAAGGTAATGGAGTTTGTTTTATGTTGCATTTACCATTTATCAAGAGCACTTGACTTTATAGGCACGAGGAGAAGCAAATCTGGGGTAGAAGTTAATGCTTATATTGTACCCTTCTAATTTCTTGGTGACAATTAGCATTTTATGATAGTACATTGCTAAGCATTGAAAATGTCCATTGCTATCAATTTTATATCAATTTTATGTCTTGCATTATGCTTATGTGACATTTCATAGGAGCTCCACTTTGTATTATATCTCATGGTTTATCAATGCCCGAGATTGCATGTTGACTTTTGATGGTTTCTATCTTTGTGTCCCTGTCTATAAGATTGAGAGCTTATGGTTGTTGCAATTTGATACAGGTTCTAATTTACTCCCCAGATGGGAGATGCCTATCCAAGTATCAAGCATATGAAAGTGGACTGGGTGTAAAAAGTGTTTCGTGGTCGCCTTGTGGCCAATATCTAGCTGTGGGTAGTTATGATCAGATGTTGCGAGTTTTGAATCACTTAACTTGGAAAACATTTGCTGAATTCATGCACCTATCCACTGTCCGTGGTCCTTGTTGTGCTGCTGTTTTCAAGGTGACTGGATTTCTTTGTTTTTTTTATTTTGATGTTTTTTATATCATTGGGTGCACTGATGATTTAAGTGGTTACAACTTTCGAGTCTTTTCTTAATTTTGCAGGAGGTAGACGAGCCATTGCACCTCAATATGTCTGAGTTATGCTTGAGTGAAGAGTTTCTCCAAGGAAATTCTGGTAAAGCATGACTGCATAAGTATGGAGTATCTTACAGTGGCATGGATCTTGTTTGACACAGAATGTTTGATCTGTAAAATGAATTTGAAACTGTCTTCATGCAACTATATCACTTCTTTTGAATAACTTTTCTAGTTGAATCAATACCTTTTCCTTTCCTAAAAGATGTTTCAGGAGGACACTTCCGAGTCATGTATGATGTTACTGAAGTACCTATTAGCTTGCCTTTCCAGAAGCCTCTTGCAGACAAACCAAATCCTAAACAAGGCATTGGTAAAGCCCGTCTTTCCGTATAGCATATTGATGCAATTAACAATACATGTTTTAAGAGTTCCTTGCAGTGCATTGATGTTTGTTTTCCTCTTCGTTAGTATCAAACCAAAATGCACTAAAAATGCATGACCTTAATTGCAGGTCTTATGCATTGGAGTAAAGACAGCCGATACATTTATACACGTAATGATAGCATGCCCACTGCTCTGTGGATATGGGATATACACCATCTAGAGCTCGCTGCCATCTTGGTGCAGAAGGATCCCATACGAGCAGCAGCATGGGACCCAACATGCACACGTCTTGTTCTCTGTACTGGCAGCTCTCACTTGTATATGTGGACCCCATCAGGTGCTTACTGCGTGAGTAATCCTCTACCACAGTTTAACATAACTGATTTGAAATGGAATTCAGATGGAAGTTGCCTCCTCCTCAAAGACAAGGAGTCGTTCTGCTGTGCGTCTGTGCCCTTATTTCCCGAATCTAGTGAATATAGTTCAGATGACTGAGGCATGTCTCCATTTTTTAATCCAGGTGGCTTGCAAACTTAACAAAAAAAAACTATACTACAAAAACAGGGCATCAGTGTTTAACCAAATATTTCGATTCTCCTTATCTCTGTAAAAAGTTTTTGTAGGGTTCCCAATTGTAGTAGAGAAATTAGCTGACAAGTTTTTTAGTTGGAAATGAGCTGTTCTGTTAAAGAAGAAAGTTTTTAAATCGTCAGAAGTGAAAAACTTGAAGAACCATTACTCGATTTCCGAAAGAGGATACTCGCGACACAGGTTTGGCCGGTCTCGGGGTGTGTGTGTGTCAAGACAATGGCAAAACGAATGAAACTATGCCGAACGACATTTATCCCGTGTCGAGACAAATCAATAACGGAAGTCAAATTTATACTAACATTTGTCTGAGTTTCATGGAATCAGCTATCCCTTGGCGAAGCTGCAAGTAAACTGTGATAGAAACAAAGCAAGCATGTACCGTAAGTATACTGTTTTCGTGTGATAGTACTATGTTTCTTAATTCTGCTTCTTTCATTGAACTCTGTTAAATGTTTGTATTTTGTGAGCAGGACTGCATGCAATAAACCCTACCATACACTGCATTTTTTTATGATGTATCACAGCTTTGTAATTAGGTAACATTTCAAACACTAGTTTAATGAATTCCATGCCATATCATTAAGTTTCGGCTAACCTTGTACAGGACATATCAAGGATCAAAAGTAAAAACTGTAATAATTAACAATGTATAGCTACATGGAAACAATCTATTTTATGGTCGCATCCCTTCTTGTTTATAACGAATTGGTTTTGCGTATGCAGAAAGTTCTCGAGTTTTGATACCACCAAACATTACAAGCTGACTAAAACTTCCCAGTGGTTTTTTATTTTGGGTTCTCTGTGTCACTATCTTCGTTTCAAGTTCATTGAGAGACGTCAAGAAATGGATTCTCTCGTAAATGCCCTGTCTGCAAACGGCAAGCTGGCTTGCGAATTGTAAATGCAGGATGCAAAGAGTTTAGCCATATCTTAGACGATACTTAACTGCATGTGACAAAAGTAATCTGCTACTGAACCGATGCTTTCGGCTTCTTGACCTGAAGTGTTTTTATCAGTAATAGAAATTAAAAGAATCCACTGGCCGCATGCATCAATGCCCTCATTTTCAAGAATACTCCACTGCCGCTATCGCACCAAAATAATTGCAATAACCACTTAGAAACGCCTATCCATTGCACCGGCAGTGATTCATCTTATCGTACCTTTTTGTCCATTGATTGCATAAATTCTATCGTGTTTTGTTTGTGTTTTTGGATAAAAAAATAAATATAAAAGAATAAAAATGCTTTTGGTTCGAGAAATAAAAAAAAGGATTTAAAATAATTTGATTTTTAGAATAACTTTAAAATGGATTTACGTGTTCTTGAAGATGATGAAAAAAAAATAAAGGAAAAAAAACCATTGACCTCAAGGAAAAAAAATCAATAATCAAATGGTAAATAAGACAGGCTGTGAATGACAGAGAGCTATTTATATGGCAACAAGAAGCAAGAAAGCCCCCCAACACCGTCCTCCACTCAACAAAACCTTTATTTTTTCTCCCTTCTCTTTCTCGCATCAAACACCATTGCTTTGCACCCACAAAGAGAAAGGGAGGTATCTTTTAATTCGAAGCTAAAAAAACTGGCTTCAACTTCATAATTTCCTTTCTTTCCTTTTCCTTTGTTTTTGTTTTTTACACTCTTTAACCGCCATTACCTCTAAAACGCTTTTTTTTTTTTCAGTTTCCTTTTCACATTCACAGTTTGAAAGGTTCCTCTTTCAGGCTCTTTAACGACAGTCCAATTGAGTTTTAACTTGTTTGACGCTATTTAGGTATGCCCATTACGTGTTCTTGGTTGAATTTCTCGCCTGTCTTGTGATGTTTGGCTTTGTTCAGTAGCTGTTTTTTCATGTTTTTGTGATTAAGTATTGGTTCTTGATTGCAAAAATGGATTTCTTATATCTGGGGTTGCGATTATTGAATTGGAGTTTGTTTCATTGGATGTTTGTTTTTCTATGATTGTAGAATTGGTTATTGTTAGGTCTTTAGCATGTGAAACATTGGAGCTTTTTTTATTGAATGTTAGAAGGTTCTTTTATGAATTTAAAGATTGTTTGTTATGCGGTCCCAAAGAATGGTGTATTCTGTTTGTTGCTTGTTTTCTTGATGAATTTGGAGGTTGTTTGGCACTGGTGTATATGTATAATAGAATTGTAGCTTGTTTGATTAATGAGTTGCTTATTTTGTTTCAATTGAAGGATTGTTGACAGAAGGGTTCCTAGTGTGCACGATATTGGAGCTTTTTGATTGAGATATGACTCGAAGGGTGAGGAGAAAGTTGGCACACTCCAAGGAAAAAAATAAGGAGATTGTAGGCAGTGATTCAGAGAATCCAGATGATGGATGTTTGCGCTCCAGTACCATTTGTGACCTTGATTGGATGGCATTGCCTGATGACACAGCTATTCAGCTATTTTCTTATTTAAATTATCGAGACCGGGCCAGTTTGTCGGCAACATGTCGAACATTTAGACTGCTAGGTTCCTCTCCTTGTTTATGGGATTCTCTAGACCTTCGGTACCACAAGTTTGATATTGCAGCAGCACGGTTGCTGTCTTCTCGATCCAAAAATCTTCGGAAGCTTCGGTTTCTAGGGGCAGAGTCAGCAGATGCTATTATTAGTCTTGAAGCGAGGGACCTTCGTGAAATTAGTGGTGATTTCTGTCGGGATATCACAGATGCTACACTTTCAATGATAGCAGCTCGACATGAGATGCTTGAATGTCTCCAACTTGGGCCAGATGTGTGTGAAAGAATCACCAGCTTTGCAATCAGAGTAATAGCACTTTGCTGCCCCAAGTTAAAGAGACTTCAGATTTCAGGTGTGAAGGAAGTTACTGGGGAAGCCATAAATGCTTTAGCTAAGCATTGTAGGCAATTGCTGGAGGTTGCATTCATGGAATCCAATTCTGTTGATGAACTTGCATTAGGAAACCTGACTTCTGTCCAGTTTTTGTCACTGGCTGGAACAAAAAACCTGAAATGGAATTCAGCTTCATGTGTTTGGAGTAAATTGCCCAAGTTGGTGGGGTTAGATGTGTCAAGGACAGATATAACTTTCAGCTCTGTCATGAGATTGTTTTTGTCATCCCAATACTTGAAAGTGTTGGTTGCCTTGAACTGTCCAGTTTTTGAAGCTGAAGTTGATAATCACATGATATATAATCATAAGGGAAAAATATTACTCACAGTTTTCAATGACATTTTCAAGGCTGTAGGCTCATTATTTGTCGATATTACTGAAAATGAGAGCAACAACTTATCTTATTGGAGGAAAGGAAAGAGCATCGACAGAAGCATGGATGTCATTGCTACTTGGATTGAATGGGTTTTCTCACATTTTCTTTTACGTATCGCGGAGAACAACCCCAAGGAGCTTGATGCGTTCTGGATCAAGCAAGGAGCAGCACTGGTGCTTGATTTATTGCAAAGCTCACAAGAAGATGTTCAAGAAAGAGCAGCCAATTCAATTGCTACTTTTGTAGTGATTGACGATGAAAATGCCACTGTTGATTCTCAAAGAGCTGAGGTAGTTATGCAGAATGGTGGAATACAGCTGCTTTTGGACCTTGCTAGATCTTGCCGAGAAGGAATGCAGTCTGAAGCAGCAAAGGTAAGGGTGATTTCTTTTAGGTGCCATTCCTCACTTCTTGCAATTTGAAAGACATTTGGACAGTCATTGAAAATCATTGAATAAGAGTAGGAAAAGGCTAGGTTTAGATATGACTCGAAACAAAAGTTAGATGCTTAAGCTACTAAATTTTCTTACTCCTTGAATTCTTACTCCTCACATCTTGTTTCAAAGAATTTGATTTCCTGAGAAGTTTAGTTATTTGGAATAATCCTGTAACGCTGTTGACCTGTGCAGGCTATAGCAAATTTGTCTGTAGATTCAAAAGTTGCAAAAGCTGTTGCTGACATTGGAGGAATTAATATCCTTGTCGGTTTGGCTAGGTCAGTAAACAGATTGGTTGCTGAAGAGGCTGCTGGAGGCCTATGGAATCTTTCCGTTGGAGAAGAGCATAAGGTTGTGGAAATTGAAGCAATTTTATGATGCCATAACTAAAAATTATGTGACTTACTCTAATCAATGCTGTTTGGAAATTGAAGCAAGTTTATGATACCATAACCTAGAAATTATGTGACTTACTCTCATCAATGCTGTTTACAGGGTGCCATTGCTGAGGCTGGCGGCATAAAAGTTTTGATTGACCTTATTTATAAATGGCACGCTGGCAATGATGGGGTACTTGTATGTATCCTGCATACATATAATATAAGCATCACTTGCTACATGATTCTGCAACTGGTGTAGCATTTCAATTAAGAATTATGGGCTGGTGTTTCCACCCTTGTTTTTCAGGAACGAGCAGCTGGAGCACTGGCAAATTTGGCAGCTGATGACAGTTGTAGCATGGAAGTGGCAGTGGCTGGCGGTGTCCATGCTCTTGTAATGCTTGCTAGATCCTGCAAGTTTGAAGGAGTGCAAGAGCAGGTGATCCTGGTTATAGCTTTTAATCTGTGCATATGTTCACAAGTAAATGGTCATTTTTCTGAATATAACATGCAAGCGTCATGTTTATGGCATGTGATTCATTTATAAGATTAAAAGTGGGTTCTAAACTGCTGCATTCTCTGCTGCTTCCCTTCTTGACCAGGCTGCTCGTGCATTGGCCAATCTAGCTGCTCATGGAGATAACAATAATGACAATGCTGCTGTTAGGCGAGAGGCAGGAGCACTTGAAGCATTGGTCCAACTCACGTCTTCCCAGCATGAAGGTGTAAGGTAATCTATTTTTCTTTCAGCTACCTATGGTATTAATATAATATTTAATAACGATCTTACTCAAGCACATAACAAGAAAATCTTATTTATTTTGGATAATTCTAATGAAAAAGTAATTTCACACTCTTCTTTTGAAAAACTTGCCATTCATTTTCATTGTTGTTATTTGAAGAGCACTATCATTCTAAAGTTTTAACTATTTTGTTTGGCTTCAATTTACAATTACAAAATAAACTAAATGAGAAAGAAAAAACATTGTTTCTTTCACTTCAGTGCTAGACACGGGCGCATTGTGGACTGTTATAACGGTTGAGTGTGACCCTTTTTCGGTCCTTGAACAATTACTTAGTTTTGTCTCTGATTTTTTTTTTTAATTTCATCCTTCATATTCACATGGTTTTAAACTTAAAAATTTGTTTTGGTTTGCTTGCTATATTGCATTCGTGATGTCAAAAAATGTCCCGGCATGAAATTGATGGTCGCTTTTGCAAAATAAGATTTAATTTTATCAATTAAAAAAATTGAAACAACAGGGACCAAATTTAACATAGACACAAATGAACCCTTTTCTATTGTTCATGTTTGCAGAAAACTACATTTTGGTCCCTGAAGTTTTGGCCTTTTCATTTCTCATCTCTGTTTTTCTTAGGGTTTTACATTTCAGTCCCAAAACTCATTTATTTTATGTCTCAGTCCTAGGAATATTAGAGGAGAGAGAGCGTCATTAAAAATGAGAAATGAGTCAGAAAAAAAATCTGGCCATTAGTTAGATGCTCGATTTTTCAGGAAAAAAAATTGGTTTTATTGTTTGCAAAAAATTAAAAATAAGAGGACCAAAATTGAAAGCAGATGAAAAATAAAGGGTTTTTTTTCTAGCACTGTTCAATCAATGATTTTTGAAAAGAAAAGCTTTGGGAGTTTTCTTAATTTCTATTTTGGTCCCCTTAGTTTTTCAATTATATGTTTTAGTCCAAAAGTTTATTTTATTCACTTTTAGGTCCTTGAGTTAAAGAGAGGAGAGAGTTGCTGGAAAACGGTAAAGAATAGAGAAAGTTGTTGGGTGTCCATATTCTGGCGACAAAAACACGTGTTAATAAGTTCAATTCAATTTAACAACAGAAGTTCCCTTTAGGTTATTTTTACCTTTGTCTTGCCAGATAAAGTAGATCACAGTTGAAAAAGAAAAAAGGTTTTTGGCTTGATTTTCTGTTTTTTGATCAATTTAGAAGCGTTTTGGGTTAAAAGATTGGTTTATTAAGTTTCTAATGGAGTTTTTAAAA